TTTTTTTTTTTTTTTTTTTTTTTTTTTTTTTTTTTTTTTTTTTGTCGTGGTGACAGGAAGCTGACTAACTCAGCAGGCAATTCTGAAACAACTACAGGCAAGACCAATAACAGCCACAGTGGAACTGTTCAAATTAGCAAGAGTCTGTCAAGATGTGGGTCAATGGGCTGAGCACCATGGTACACTCCCTTAACCCAAGCTCTTTAGGGCAGAAAAGCAGGGACATGGCTGAGTTTGAAGCAAGTTTGCTTTGGTCTACAACGCAAATACCACATCTGAATTAACTACATAGTGGGGGAGATTCCGTGTCAATAAAACAAAACAATAGTAAAATGATCTGGCTTAATGGTACTTTTTGAAGAGTCTTTTGTTAGTGTCTGTCTTAGTTCACTGGGATTGTGCCGACGAAACAGTTCATAAACGGGAATTTACTCCAGGCTGTGGCAGAGCCAGTATCTGATGAGCCTGTGTCCTTGTTCATACACACCTTCTTGCTGGATTCTTACATGGTGAAGAGCAGCAATGAGCACCCTGGGGTCTGTTTTACCAGGATTAACTCCTTCATAAGTGTTTTTGCTCTTTCAGTCTAATCACCTATAAAAGGCTCTTGTCTTAGCTAGGAAGGTTAGGATTTCAATTTATGAATTGGGGAAGGGGGTGGTGAACTATTGAGACACACACAACAGGTTATGCTGTGTTCCTCAGGAGGCAGACCCAAGGTCATAAAAATGTCAGGACTCTGTAATTAACCTCGAAATTCTACGCCATAGCAATTGACATCCCGATGTGGGGTTGAGAGGGACACGACAGGCTTGCTCGGACGTGATCTGGAGGATCTTAGGATGGCTCTTAGGGAATAAGGAAAGCAGCACTGATTGAGAATGAGGCTAGTCCGTGGGTGGCATTCCTTACACCTTGTTCAACACTGTGTGACCACAACACACACAGGATTTTGGCGCATGGCGATGCTGTACCGTGAGCTGGACTGAGGAGTCTCCCTGCTCTTTCTGCTCATTGAAAAGCTTTGTGTGAGATTAGTTTGATATGAACCTTGAAAGATTGATGGAATGCTCCATTAAAAGGTTTCCTTTCCTGGATTATTTTATATGTTACATAGTTGGATCATGGTTGGAGTCACACAGTATTATAGCCTTCACCTTCCTAACCATATGTGTTTACACTTATATACAGATATTAAACACTTCTATTATATATATATTATATATATTCTGGGGAGGGTAAGGTGGTTCAGTGGATAATGCCCCTTACTGCGCAAGGCTGTCACCCTGTGTTCATTCCCCAGAGGACATATGGAGGTGGAATCAGAGAAATGACTCCATAAAGTTGTCCTTTGGCCTTCACAGCTATGCAACAGTGTACTACACAAACACACACCCCACAGATACTTATACCTGCACACACATTAGCTATAAGCCTGCAGCTCATTTCCTCTTGGGATTTAATAATGTTTTATTGTTTGTCTTGTTCACTTACTGGAAGAACTGTGAACTTCTGTGTTCAGGTTGATGTGTGCGCATAAACTTGAACTCATATAGCAACTCACAGCTTCTACACAGTTGCTAGACTTTATGACATGGGGACTTCTGGAGCATCCTTTTGCACCCGCAGCTGCACTAACATTTGGGGCAGCCCCCCGTTTAGAATTTTAGCCTGAACCTTGAGGCAATCCTCTTGCTTCTGATTCCATCCCACCACGAACTTCACCATCTATGCCCAGCTCTTCTTCCCCTCAACCACCTCCTCCTGACATTTTTTTTAAAAAATCTTATTGCGTCAGCTAGCACTGTGATGTTAACTGGGAATGCTGAGGGAGGAGATCCTTGCCCTGTTTATAGAGCTGGGGAAAAATGCAGTTCCTCACCATTGTGTTATGTTAGCTGTAGAGTTGCTGTTGTTGTTCTCGTTTTAATGGGCTCTCTTTATTAAATCAAGGAAGCCTCCTTTTATTCCAAGTTTTCTGAGAGCTTTTTATCATGAATACACATTAAATTTGTCAAAACCTTTTCATCCTTTTTCTTCTTTCCCCTGTTGATATAATCAATTAAATTGGTCTCTGAGTGTTGAACCACTTGATTGTGGTATATAATCCATTTTATATGTGGTTTAATCCAATCTGCTAATATTTTGTTAGGATTTTTTTCATTTGTATCTGTGGGAGCTACTGACCTGTCATTCTCTTCTCTTGTAATGTCTTTGGTTTAGAAATAGGGCATTGTTGACCTTATAAATATTGTAATATTTGTAATATCTCACAAAGGTTGTCAAATATTGTAGCTACTTTGGCTTTCTATTAAAGACTGTATAAAACTGATATGATTTCTTCCTTAAATGTATGGATGGATTTACCCTGAAACCACAATTAATCTAACAAATGTTAAAATAAAACCAAAGAAAATAGATTAGAAAAATTTGAGCAAGTCAACAAAACCAAAAGATAGTTCTTTGATAGATGAACAAAATTTATTAACTTTTACGTGGACTGACCAAGGGGAGTGTCTTGGTTAGATGTTGGAGAATGGTCTGATGCTTTTTATTTGTTAATTGCTTGCCTCCCAAGATTCT